TTTTTTTTTCGTTTTCACACAGCGTATTGAATTTCCTCTATCCTAAGCTCCACTATGCTACTGCTTCCTTCATTGCTGTTCTAAAATTTACCAGTTAGAGTGACGAAGGAGAAGCGCGGCTCGGCCTCTCGCTCACCGCTGCTATCTGTCCTGTACTGAGTCACGGTGTGCCGCCGTTTGTTATGCTATTGATTGCTGATCGCGTGTTATTCCGTGCAAAATTTCATTTTTGGTATATAATTCTTTTAATTTAGGAAGGTAAAGGCATGAATCTGCTGAGAACTCGTGAAATTTGATGACCATGATGGCTACTGTGGCGAATGTGGCGTCGTCGACATCGACGATCTACGAGAATATCTCGGATTCTCAGTCTAGCAATCATTTGGAGGATCTGAAGCTGGAAGATTCTGGAACCTATGATGCGGATTCGAGGAGTAACTCAAATGAAAAGGTATGCATTAGGTTCCCTACCAATATCTGTGAGTTAAGTTATTTTGCACAGAAATGCTTTGTGCTTCTGTCGGAGATTCTTTTTGATGCATCGTTTCGACTGAATTTCATTTTGTTATCCTTTTCGCATTGGTTATTCTTAGCTCTAGTTTCGCAAGTCTATAAATGTGATGATTTAGTGCATAGGTTTTCCATTCTGCACATTGCATGGAATGTACTTTGAGCAGCTAGTACCCACAAATTTTGCTTACATGATCAATTATTTTATTGTCAACTCCATAACACTTCATCAGGCAATGGGCCTGATCTATGTCATGGTATTCTTAGGTTAATTCAGCTCTAGTTTTTGTTGTTGGTAATCCAGAAATCTAAGCTTGGAGGTTCCCACTTGTGGCAAGACTTGTGCACAAAGCTTTTTTTAAAATTTATCTTTTTGATGTGTGTCGAATCATTTTTTGGTTATCAGGACGACTTGTCCATGTAAAATTGCTACGTAGTATTTTCTTGAAAATTTTCTCAAAAATGCGTCTTTTAATAAAACTGGCCAACCAAGTTGTTCTTTAGGAATCTCAGTGTATAGAATATGCTGCGGAAACTAGAAACGGTTGCTTAACAGCA